CACAGTCCGTAACTCCATCAGGGTGGTGCAGTGAACTTCAGTACCATACCCTGACTCTCAACTGCGCTGGCCAACCCTCACCTGAGCTTGTTGACCTCCAAACCTAAGTACTGTGTTTTATGACCCCCCTCGTACCCTGATCTCAGGAGTCAATGACGGGAGAGAGGAATCCCTCAGCGATGTGGAGTGGCCAAGGGCATGTAGAAATCTAGTTCCTTCTTAAATAACTTCCACCAAACCCCTGTTTTATCTACCTCCTGTCTGCTTAATGGCCAGATCCAAATGGACCTGTCGGTGCCAGTTTGTGAGCCTTTTGGGGATTCCACAAGTTGGTTTTCAGCTTCTCTGAGGCTGACTTTAGATTTGACTCTTTAGGTCCAATGTGGACTCATTGGGACAGCGTCCATCAGCCCTGCAGACTTTTGTTGCTGTCATCCCTGTCTCCTTCTCTATTTTAGCCATTCCTGAAGACTTCTGTCTTTCTAAGAAATCTCATAACTGCAGTCTGGCTTGGTTTAGGAGGAAGAAATGCTTGATGCTTTTTTTTTTCAATCTGCCATTATAACCCAGTAGTACATCTTTAACTGCATCATTTTCTTATGTAACTCAATAACGCAACTCACTCTTCTTGTAGTACACTGCTTGTGAGATTATTTGTCAGTAAGTTATGTAACTTCTTTGGATCTTGCCCTATCTATCTTCTCTGTTGTCATTGCAGCTTCCCTGAGTTACACAGGTCTAAGGACAAAGTAACCAGCTGTTCATGCACAGCCCTGGCAGAGTAAGGTTTTCAGGGTGACGTGAAAATCTTTCCAGGTCAGTGGAAATACACACGCCCGGCCTCTGGTTTTCATTCTTGTTTCCAGATCAACAACTTAGCACAACCCTCAGCTTCTGTTGACAAAGCCCTTTGGGAGAAGGCAAAGAGTTCCTGATCTGTGTTAGAGGACAGCAGCCCCTCCCCGACCTGGAACACAGACTTTTGGAAGAGGAATTATTATCTTCATTTGGCTGCTATTCTGCCGTTTCCTCTGTTTTCTTCTACGTAAAACACTTTGTTCTCATCTTCCAACAATTCCCACCTTCCCTCTTTTTCTGATCTGCATTTCCATTTTGTTTTTCTGCCCAGCCCACTTTCCCATCTCTGGCCAAGGTGGACACCTCCTATTGGCCCATTTTCCACTTAATTGCCCCAGGAAGAACCTTTGCCCCCTGGTGTCTGCAGAGCCTGGGGAGCAGTACAGGCCTTCCATTGAGCAAGGCCGGGTGGGAGCTGGGCCTCCAGCAGGGTGGGGCTCCACATCCTGCCTAGTGCTGCCAAATGGGATAGGGTTTCTCCTAGAAAGAAACCTCTACACACCAAAAAGAGAAGGGCCCAGAAGATGAATGTGCTGATCCTTTATACTTCTGTTTGTTTGTTTTTGTTGATATATGATATTTGTACATTTTGGGGTACATGTGATATTCTGATACATGCATAGAATGTATAGTGATCAAGTCGGGGTGATTCGAATATCCATCACCTGGAGCACTTTGGGAGGCTGAGGCGGGCGGATCACAAGGTCAAGAGATTGAGACCATCCTGGCTAACATGGTGAAACCTCGTCTCTACTAAAAATACAAAAAATTAGCCAGGCGTGGTGACATGCGCCTGTAGTCCCAGCTACTCAGGAGGCTGAGGCAGGAGAATGGCTTGAACCCAGGAGGTGGAAGTGCAGTGAGCTAAGATTGAGCCACTGCACTCCAGCCTGGGAGAAAGAGCAAGACTCTGTCTCAAAAAAAAAAAGAAAAAAGAAACCTCCACCTCCACACATCGAAAAGGGAAGGGCCCAGAAGATGAATGTGCTGATCCTTTACACTTCTGTTTGTTTGTTTTTGTCGATATGTGATAGTTGTACATTTGGGGTACATGTGATATTCTGATACATGCATAGAATGTGTAGTGATCAAGTTGGGGTGTTTCGAATATCCATCACCTGGAGAATTTATCATTTCTCAGTGCTGGAAATATTTCAGCTATTTTGAAGTACACAATACATTGTTGATAACTGCAGTTACCCTACTCTGCTCTCGAACTTATTTCTTCTAACTGTGTGTTTGTGCCCATTAACCAGTCTTCCTTTGTCCACACCCTCCCCAGCCTCTGGGAACCATGATTCTACTCTCTCCTTTGATTCGATCAACATATTTAGCTCCCACATATGAGTGAGAGCTTGTCTTTCTGTGGTCTGGCTTATTTCACTTGACATAATGACCCCCAGTTCCATCCATGTTACTGCAAATGATAACATTTCATCCTTTTCATGGCAGAATAGTATTCCATTGTGTATATGTAACATATTTTCTTTATTCATTCATCGAAAGACACTTAGCATGATTTTGGTGTAAAATCACTTAGATCAATGGAACAGAACAGAAATCCACATACTCACAGCCAACTGATTTTTCAACAAAGACAGTGACATACACCAGGGGAAGGACACCCTCTTCAGTAAATGGCACTTCAGTAAATGGAAAAAGACTGAATACCCATGTGCAGAAGAATGAAACTAGGCCCCTATCTCTCACCAGGTACAAAAATCAACTCAAAATGGATTAAAGACTTAAAAGCAAAATCTAAAACTATACATCCTGTTTAAGGAAGTACAATCCCCTTAAAGGGAAACCTCCTTTTCATTGAAAATAAGCTGTTCTCTCTTTTCCCCTATCCACTACCTCTTTGCCCGTGAAGATGGTGGGGAGTAGAAGCATTGGTTGTAAAGAGTATCTCTTTTCTAAGAGATGATCCAAATTGAGATCACATGGCAAGTGGGGACCTTTCTGTATACTGAGATGGCAGCTCAGGTCTTCGTTACTCAAGAGCCTCTTTGATGGTGGAGAAGGCAGAGACTAAGGTACAGGGCTGGTGGCCGTGGAGAGAGCATTTGGGGAGGTGGAGGGAAGAACAACACAGGTAGTTAAGAAGGGCAAGAGTGCTGCTTGCTTCTCTGACTGGCTGTAGCTCCCCATGCAGGCTGTGGGGCTTACAAGCTCCTATTGTGATCAATCAATGCTTTCAGCAGTTCCATCTGACACATATGGTGATATGAGCAGGAGGTATGGGGCTGCATGATAATCAGGCACCCTGGGCAGTTTCCATAAGTGACTGTGAGCATCACTTCTACCTGGCTGGGACAGGCATCCCGGGTCAGCCAGGGCAGGCAGGTTAACCCTAGTAGAGCAGGAACCTGCCCTGCAGCTCTCAAAGATCTCTGTCTCTGTGGCTAGAACCCTGTCCTCCTTCCTCCGCAGGCCCCTCCTCACCAGAGGGAAGGATCTGCTGCTGTTCCCCTCCTGTGCCCCATCCCTCCCCACTCCCCGACCAACTTCCTCCCAGGCCGAGGGCTGTCAATGTCTGATGGTCAGTGTCAGGAAAAGAAGGGTGGCCCGGGTCCCTCTACAGAGGGGTCTTAAACCAAACTTCACCATAGATCTTTTTGTTTGCTCTGCTGGGGTTCCATGGGGTGACTGGATTGAGAGAGAGGAATGGAGGGGATGGGACCTGGACACCTTTTGAGGTGTGTGGTCTCTGAGGTGTTCTCCAAAGAGACCTGTGGGGTGTTTGTTTCTCAGAGAAAAGACTGTCCAGGCAGCAGCTGCTGTGCTTGCATGAGGGGTTGATGTATGTGGTTTACTTCAGGCACTTCCCTTTGACAGAGAGGGATGCCCAGGGGTCCTCCAGGATGCTCTGCAACCCCCTAGGGAGCACAGACCCTGGGGCAGAGGCAGAATAAGTAGCTTTGCTCTTGTGTGAAGCTTCATTGGTGGGGTTAGGGCACAGGCTTAGATGTGGCTGGGTAGAGAGGGGTCCCAGGGAGCTGTGGTGAATGCTGGTGGAGGGTAGAAGAATGGGTGGCATGACCAGGAGGTCAGATGGTAGAGCTCTAGATAAGGAATGATGGATGAGGAAAGCTTGGTGGGGGTTGGGGTGCAGTGGGCACATGGAAGGGCAGGGGGGTTGAAAGCAGCTCTGGTTGCTTCTGGGTGCAAGAGGTCAGGGGTTGGAGCTGGGGAGGAAGTCAAGCCAGATGCTGAGTGGCCAACCTAGCCATGGCAACAGCTCTGCCCTCTGCCTTCTGCTAAAAATACTGCCTTTCCAGACAACCCTCTTCCTCCTGGAGCTGATGGGTCAGCCAAGCATAGAACAGAGACGGGCCTGACTCAGAAAGCAGGGTTGACCTCGGGGTTGGAGGAGCTGAAGCAAGTGCCAAGAAAGGGGTCTGCTCTGGAACTTAGAGTGGAGCAGGAAGTGTGACTTTCCCCCTGCAGCCCTGCGTGCAGGGAAAGCTAAGCCCAGGAGCCAGCTTGGAGGGAAAGGAACAGAACACCAACCCTTACCCCCTCACATTGATAGCTTCCCCTCACATGCTATCAAGTCGGGGTATTTTGAATATCCATCACCTTGAGCATTTGCAACCTCCTAGAGAGACCAGGAGGCCTTGGCAGGTGCAGCCTGACTGCCCAGATCCAGCAGCTGGTTTCTCTGGTTCTCAGCTCTTGGAGAGGCTGAGTAATGCTATGTTTGGAAGCTGGGAGCACTGGACAGGTCTGGGTTCCAGTCCCTGTTCAACCACTTACTAGGTGTATGCCTTTCAGCAAGTTGCTGCAATTCGCAAATAGAAATAAAGATCGTACCTGTCTCAGAAGGCTGAGATAGATACATAGATAGGTAGCACTATGCCTGGCACAAATGAGGCATAGAAGAAACAGTCATGATGTTGTGATGATCTGTCCCTGTGCCTAGGTGGCAAACTGCTGTAGCATGTTTGTGCACACAAGGATAGAGTCACCACAGGGGCTTCTCCCTCTGTAAAGATTGTGTGCTCCTATTTGAGAAGGTCAGGTTGCCTTCCTGCCTCTGGAGGGCCCCTTCCTCCCTGCTCCCACATCAAAGCTGGGGTGTACCCTGGCCCTCAGTCCCAGGCTCTGCTGCTGACTGTTGCTCACCTGCTTCCTCATAGACCTGCGCAGAATGACGGCTGGCTTCATGGGCATGGCGGTGGCCATCATCCTCTTTGGCTGGATCATCGGTGTGCTGGGCTGCTGCTGGGACCGAGGCCTTATGCAGTACGTGGCAGGGCTGCTCTTCCTCATGGGAGGTAAGGCTGCAGACTCGGCTGGGGGGTGGCAGCGGACAAGGTCCTGATTACCAGAATTTGGGGAGAATGGCCAGAGGGCATGGCAGAGGGGACCATGACATGACTGGGGTTCTCATTTACTCATCCACTGATTCACAAGCACTTCTTGAGTTGCTTTTAGCTCCTCACCACTGCCCCAGCTGTTGGGGATACAAAGGGAAATAAGACACAGTCCTAACCTTCTGCTCAGAACTGCCTGTATGGCAGAGAGACACTTACAGAGATGATCATGAGACAGAGGGTTACAGAGCAAGCATGAGCCCAGGAAGTGTTCAGGGATTTCATTACATGCAGGCCCTGGGCATTGGTGTGGGAAGCCTGAAGCAAGTGCTATCTGGGCAGTTTCTGTCCGAAAGTCTATCTTCACCTCGGACTTATAAGTTCTAAAGCTGCTCCCATTCAAGTAAGGTGGTGGAGGGACAGGATTAGACCCTCTCTTATATCTGTCTCTCTTATGCTATGATTGTACCGTCATGTCCATAGGACCACTCCAGTGTCCTTCTAAAGGGATTCTGCGTAAGAACTGCATGGCTATGTGGGAATAGGGTCCAGCCCACGGGAAGTAACAGAAAGTCCACTCCTCTTGTGCATCTTCTTTCCCTGTAAGAGCTAAATTGTGCTTTTTGGTCTCCTGGTTTGAGTCTCAGTCCCAAGCTAAAGTTGACCACTAGGTATGTCCACTACCATCTACTCCTCAGACAAAGGTAGATGGATGGGTTGTGTGGGGCTCAGTAGAGGGGGAGCTGGGCTTGTACAGAGGGAATTAGAAATATTTATGGAAAGAAGGAAAAGTGAGTCCCGCATATAGAAACCAATGTCAGTTAGACTCTAGGCACCCGGAGCAAACACCCAACTCAGGTCCCTTCTGTGAGCCACCAGGCTATAGGTTTGTGAACAGGGGCAGGGGTTGAAGGAGTAGGCCATGCTGGCTCTCTGTCTGCAGATCAAGCTGGGGACAGAAGTGAGTTGCTCTAGGTCTGTGGAGAGATCCTGGGGGCTAGTGAGCTGTGGGATTCTGCTTGAGTCCTGAACTGATTGAAGGCCTACCCTTATTCCCTTGAAACACAGCCAAAGTCAAGCAGGGTATTTCCAAGGAAAAATCACTCAGGGCTACAAAACCCTCTGCTATTAGAGTCAGGATGCCCCACATCAGAGCTGCCTCCTTGGTGAGCCCCACACCTGTGGTTATGGCAGAGGCCGGGGGAGGGAGGGCAACATGGTGGCTCTGTCTAGCAATTCCACACTCCTCCTTCTGGTCTCCCACGGAGACAGGTTGACAAAACCAGGCATTGCTCCCTTGCTCTGTGCCTCAGGATCCCCTTCAGTGAAACAAGCGGTCACGCTACCTTGACGATTTCCACACTGTATTTCAGCAATGGAACCTTTCTGGTTTTTTCCCTTTGAAATCCAAATCTTATGTGGACCCCAAAATGTAAAAAGATAAAAGTGGAGCAGCTCTGTTTGTAGTGAGTGTTCTCTCTAAGACTCTTTTGGATATATAAAGGCAGGCTCTGGTAAGACAAGGCTTTCCTAGGGCTCTAGAGAGGTCTCCCAGGAATCCGAGAGAAGCTGAGCAAGCAGGCCTCGGGCAGAAAATTAATCCGGTGAGGCCTGGGGGCTGGCTCTCTTTCATCTCCACCTCTTTGATGGCATTGGAGGCTCCTGCATGGTTTTCCATTCTCCCCTCTCTTCATGCCAGGCACAGGGTTCAGATCCTGCCCAGGTGCTAGGTCTCCAGGACTTTTCAGCTCTTTGGCAACTTCCCTCTGGCCTGCTGAAGTCAGCTTCCAGAGAAAGAGATCGTGTAATTGGCTCATTTATCTTTTCCAGCCAAAGAACACATCACTGGTCAGACAATAAAGGGACAGAACTGAGCGACAGTTGTTGACCAATAGATGTGATTGTGGTAGTGCCACTGGGCTATGTCCCACTTATCTAAGACCTTGGTGAGCACACTCCCAGGATGGAGTGCGGGGGCAGACAGTGAGGGATATAAGTATGCCTGGAGCCCTGCCCTCGGACTTCTCAGGTACCTTTCAAAAGCCCAGGGTTCTGGGGAAGAGCTCTGAAAACCCCTGGGCTTAATTAGGAGTCAGAGGCCCCTTTCTATAGGGTGAATGAGTGAGAGCCTTGCTTACCTTTGTCCTGAAAGTGGTTGTCAGCCACTGCACATTTAATCACCTGCAGAGTTTTTTAAAGAATACCTATGCTAGAACCCCACTCCAGACCCATCCAAGTGAAACTTCTGGGGGTGATCTTAATGTACAGCTAGAATGAAGAACTAGTGGAAGAGATGAACTTTCCAGTTCCTTCTAGCGCTAATATTTTATGGTACTAGGAATGAACTGGTTGGCCAACAACTTTCATGATTTTTTTAACCCCGGCCTTTAAGGGCTATTTCTCCATACTTTATTCTGTAAGATATATGGCAGGGCCAAGATGGGGGCCTCTATTATTACTGGGAAAGCTCATCCAAGCCTTTAATACTGAGGGGCCCAGGTAAATGTGCTTTTTAGGGACATACAATTTAGTTTTTCAAGTGGCAAAACCATTCTTTAAGGTACGGTGTTAGCATCACAGAAAGATTCAGGGAAGCTGCTGTTCTCGGAGCTGCCTCTTTCTGACTGTGGCACCCTCCAGGTTGGTGCAGATCCATCTCATCCACAGACCAGGTCACCTTATTTGTTCTGGTGCCTTGTTACCTGTGTCCCTAGGTAAAGCCATGTCTTCTGAAGGAGTCTGAGGAAGAAAAGTATGTCCACATACCTTGTGGGTACCATTAGGCACCAACAGAAGAGACTGGAGAACAAAACCACTAAGAACTGGTCCCTTGAAGGGTGGTCTTTCTTGAAGTTGACTTTTTCAGGGGTTGGAGGGCATGCTGTTTATTCTCTAGTTAGGGTTCTTTCCAACTGGGTTAGACGCAGCCATGGGAGTCCAGAAGTCCCAGGCAGCTGACATCTGCTGACCATGAGCTAGGAACTAGGGAAGGAACAGACTAGAACAGAAGCTGCACTTCCCCTTTCCCTGCTCAGCAGAGACAGCAAACTGACAACCTGGGGCATCAACCCAAAAAATGATGCCTTGGCCTCTAGAACCCTGTATGTCAAAGAGACATATCAGTACCACCCCTCTCAGAACCTGGCCAGTCCCTGCTCTCTAGGAGTTAATCTCTAGGGCTTGACCTGTTGAAGAACTTGGAGAGTAAACCACCCATGACAGCCATTTCATGGATACAGCAGAGAAATCCCCCAACTGAACTATGGAGAGTTACCACAAAGTGGGACAGAAAGGCCCCACAGCCTTAGCTCTCAGCCAGGCTCGGGTTGCAGGCATCTACAACTGAGCACAGACAGAATCCCGAGGGGTAAAATGGGGCTGCAAGTGAGAAGCATGGAGGACAACATCTGCAGTGCTTGGAGCTGGTTAGGCATAGCCATGGATGTGGAACGGGTGCAACAGGAAGAGACAGCAAGAAAGAAGAAGCAAAATCTGGAGGCAAGAGTCCAGAGATGAAATTGCAGGTGACTTCGGAGGAAACTGCCACGACCAACATGAAAATGGAAGAATTCTATTCCCAATCTCTTCTCTCTTCTGATATGAAGGAAGATGGCCTGAGCTGGGCACTTTTCTGTTCCAGATTTAACTATTTCCTCATCAAAGTGGGGGCACACTGCACCCCAGGAAAGAATTCGCAACAAATTGTTTAATGAACGCTCAGCCAGGAGAAGATGATTAATTAAGTAGGGCAGCTTTGCTGGGTCAGGAGGCTGGGGTGGCAAGAGGGATCCAGTTTTCCCTTCGGCAGGGCCTTCAGGGAGAATCCCGCCCAGACTGCCACAACACCATTTGTGTGCTTGATGAATCACCAGTGACATTCAGAAGCTCAGAAACAGGATGCCACCAGGGAAAGACTGCAGGCAAGGGAGCACATGACTGCTGTGAGTACCTGTGATTCTCTTACTGGGTGCACCTCAGTACCACTTCGTGGATGCAGATCCCCGAGATGAGTGTAAACATCAATGTATGCCCCACCCCATCGAGACCCCTCTCACATACCCTCCCACACTCCCTGGAAGACATCCATCACCTCCTCCCCAATTCAGGTCTAAGGCTCCATGATCTTTTGTCTAGGCTAATGCTGGAGCCTTGTCTCCAGACGCCCTGACTCTACTCTGGCCGCCCTGCAATCAGTCCTTTACAGAGCAGTTAGCATAATTTTATTTAAAACCATAAATCAGATATGTCAGTCATCCACCATCAATTGTCCAATAGCTTCCAGTTGTACTTAAAATCTGAACTCCTTACCCCTTTTTAGAAGCTGTTTGTAATCAGGCTCCTGCTCTCTTTCACCTCTTTTTTGTTTCTTCCCCTAAAGTGGGGTGACACTGGCTGTCTTTCTACCCTGAAACACCCCAAAGTTTTACTTCAAGGCCCTGGAGCGAGCTCACCTCTTTGCCCATCGTGTTTTTTTGTAATGCCTTATGGATGGCTCATTTTTCCAGTTCAGGATCCATCCTCTTAGAGAGGGCTTTCTTCACTACCCAGTTTCATGAAGCCACTCAGGCATGCTCTACACTTTATATAATTTTCTGTATCACCCTTTTTATTTTCTAAAATGTTTGTTGTTGTGGTACTTTAATTTCGGCTGATTTCTTAGGAGCTTCAAACGACAAACACTTATTATTTCATAGATTATATGGTTCAGAATCCCAGGTACAGCTTAACTGGATTTCATGTGGAAAGTCCCACAAAACTGTGATCAAGGCATCAGCTGGGACTGGGTTCTCATCTGATATTTGAGGTCCTCTTCCAAGATCACAATGTTGGCAGAATTCATTTCCTTGCAGCTGCAGAACTCAGGGAAGTTTGATTATTCAAGGCCAGCAAGAGAGATAATCTCTGACTTCTTCCATCTCTGACCTCTAGACCCTCTGTTCATTTGTTTGATTTTTAATAGA